AAATAGGAGGAAGAAGGAGTATTATGTATATTCACTGCCCTGAGTTATTTATAAAAATAAAACAAGTGGGATAAATATGTAATAAATCCACAGTACTGGGAGTTATGACAGCACATAGGTGTTGAACTAGGAAAGGGGAGAACAATAGTCTACTTTGAGCTGCAGATGCGCACTGGTGACTGGGCCAGTTCCTTTCAGCTCAATCTACTTTGCACGGTTGTTGTTGCAGGAGAAAATGGGAGGATCTTTTCTTCATGAATCGCAATATGAAAGGCAGGATATAAATCAAACAAAGGAAGCAAACAGTACATTGCATTTATATAGCAAATGCTCAGTGAGATTAAGGATGCCTAATGAGGAAAGATTCAAAAAGTTGCCCTATGAGGTCATTTATTTGAATTCAATTCTGCCCAGAGATTATTGAGAACTAAATTCAAGCCCTGCTAGAGTATCTAACATTCATATTTTCTTTCTTTTATTTATCCCCTTGCAGTGCCGCAGTTAAACAATCCTGAGCATTTGTGAAAAAAAATCAAGTAAGAACATCAAGAAATAATCAGAAATATGAATCAGTTACAACCCCCCCATCTTAAAATAACACCCATGGATATTTAAAGAAATGTTATGATATGTTAAGGTCAAATAGTGAAGAAAATCTTAGGAAACCAGAGGTTCTAACAATGATTCTAAAGCTCGGCTGTCTTTTAAAACACTATCACTGTGACTCAGCAAAACTATTGAGAAACTGCAGCTCTTCCATGCAGAACAAGTACAGTTTACTTCCTCATTTCAATATGGCAAACTGCATTTGTACGTTTCCACATATAACAAGGAAATGACACCTTTAATTTCACTCCCTCCAAAACAAATACAATGCTAATTGCTTGTAGTTTATTTAAACAAGTAGCAGCTTCCCATGAGCATTCTTTCCATTCAAAGAATGGTTTAATCTTTTCCTCCTTCTTATTGCCATTCAAATGAAAATCCCTCTCCTTTATGGGAAGAAGCACCACCCTTCTTGGTTATCAGCTAAAACTGCTCTCTTCTGAGACAGCTCTTGTCTATAAAAAGCAAAGCAAAAAGAAATCACAAGATTCCACTCAATAGCTCATTAATGGTAAATCACAACAGCACTACTAACAGCAGTGAGGTGACACGAGGCTGGATCCAGGCGGTTGTTACCGCCTCTCTTCGGGAGGGGAACTTCCCGGCCGCGTTAAAAGCGCCGGTGGTGAGACCCCTCCTGAAGAAGCCATCTCTGGATCCAGCTGTTCTT